CTTAGCTGCTAGCAAGGAAGAAGACCTGAGAGTATAAAAAAAGATAAAAGTATAGACTGCTAGTCCTTTCTTTCTGTTTTCAAGTTTGAAATAAGAAGCCCGGTGTTAAGCTCTCGTAGAAGACCAGGGGAGATCACACTCTTGTTCAAACGAGAATGGCCGCCCAAACAAAGGTGGGAAATGAAGGAACTGACGGGGTTCAGGATAAGGAAAGAAGGAGAAGCGAGTTCCTTTTGGGTAGAAAGAAACATAAAGTGAAGTCGCCTCTGCATAAAGAAGTTCACTCGTGTGAAAGTCTTTGGGGAAGAGGGGTAGGACTAGAAAGAGTCTCTTGTTGCCACTTTATCTTTGAACGATTCCTTTGAACGACTGTGCTTAGCTGCATTTAGGGGCTCTTTCGCGTCCAAGGCAGGCTCTAGATCAGTATATCTCTATCGAAAGAGTGAACCACTAACTGTGTGGAAAATGGAGTAGGAGAGCCTTCCTAGGATCTGTTTTTATTGTGGCAAAGGCAAAGGGTGTGCCTGGTAGACTTATGCAGACCTTGCCTTGTTCGTCAGTATGAGCTTATGCTTTAGCTGCACGACATGAAAGAGCAACCTGGACAGTATATTCTCAACTTATATTCTTAGTTGTCCTATGTTTGTTTTTTTGGGATTATTCCGCTCATGCTAAGAAGTTTCTTTACTCTCGCTCTCACTGATGATTTTGAGCCTGCTCGAGCCTATTTACTCCCTCGCAGCCCCTTGCCTACACTGTATAGTGCTGTTACAGAACTAATCTCTTCAGAGACTTAACTTGGAACTTGTTATAACCATCATATTCATTATTTAGCATTCAAGTCGGTTTTTTGCGTGGGTATGTTCGCGGTGATATGAACCCAGCAACATATCACTTCAACGCCGCCCCTGGGCCATACCCTGGGTCAATAAACCCCTCTCTCTAACGTTGATGAGCTGGGTACATTTCCCATATACTCCATTTTATCAGAGTTAAAGCTCATTGTAGAGAGAGACAAGGCCGGGGGTGGATTTTCAGGGTGTTATGGCGCAAATAGGATAAAGAGTACCATTTTCGGGTAATCTCTTTTCCTAAAGAAGGACATAACATATAAGGTGACCCCCCCAGCGCTGTTCAATCTCTGAAGCATCCGTATAGGGTGGGTTGGTTTAAGGGCTCGAAAGGTTGGCTCAAAGCAAAGGGTGGATTCGATACAAGTATCGGATCGGTAGCGTAACTTAAAGAGAAAGCCTTTTATCTATCCTGCCCTATCCTGTTTAAGGCCCCCCCTTATTTATCTCATTCAGGCTAAAGCGGAATTAGTTTCAGCTGACGAATCTGTTGATGTTGAAGAAAAAGCAGAATCGGCAAAAGAAGCAGAAAAAGCGGAATACGCATAAGCGAAATCTGTTCAGAAAAGCTAATAATAAGCAGTTGCTGAAGCAGTTTCAGTTGTTGCAGTTTCGGTTCCAGTTCCAGATAAGGCAAAAACGGGGTCTTAGACGGGAGACGGGGCTAGCTTAGCCGGGATAGGCACTGGTTATGGAATAGGGGATTAGCCGGGATAGGCTCGAGCAAACAAGGGCCTGATCTCATCAAGATTGGGTCAATCTCAGAAGCAGAATCGGCAAAATCTACATTAGCAGCTGAAGCCGAATCGGACTCAGAAGTAGGAGACGGGCTCGAAGGTCTGCTGAGCTGAGGTCTCGAAGATGCGGAAAAGGCGGGCGTACGAATCGGGAGTCGGGAATTAATTCACCGATAATATGGTAGTGTAGTCCGGAACTTCACTGTGAGATACGGTACGGAATTAGAATTCTGTTCCAGTTCGACTAAAAATACGCTATCTTGTCCTCTCCTCCTCGTTAGGGTTAGGGAAGGACCTGACTGCTTTGGTATGAAATTGCTTGCTGCCCTCGGACTATTGGTCGAGCATCTCCGAACGTGCCTATAGAGAATACCAGGTCATCAAGTCAAATCATAATCTAATGGTCAGGTGCTTGTTTCCTGCGCCACTGCCAAAGCATCTCACTCAAGTTCTTCTTCCGCTGATTCGGATTATTCTGATGCGAATTCTCGTATCGCCCCCTAGAAGACAAATAAGTGCTATCGACTTTCGCGCTAGTGAGCCCAGAAAAGGCATTACCAGAGGCCCTTAGACAAATAGGGCCGCTTCGCCCAGAAGCTGCAGAGTCGAACCCGAACGAATGAATAGGATTCGCTACCCGATTAGTGATCCCGACCCCCCTTATCTTTAGGCCTGTCTTTCCTCTCTTTCGTCCCTTCCTTCGGTCCTTGGGACTGATACCTCGGGGATACTAAGACAGCAACTAAGGGCTTGGCTTCTTCTTATTCTTATTCAGGAACTGAAACTACAACTGCAACGGAAAGGGATTTAGGAACTTATGTTTCTTCTTTGGCTTGTTCTGCAGCTTCTGGGGATTCCGCTTCGCCCTAGACTAAACTAAACTATTAAGGCAATGCAATCACGCATTTCCTGTTTTGACATCCCTGCGACTCCGTGACTTGACTCTGCGACTTCTCGATTTTGATGTTCTTTCTTCCCTACGAGCTATCCCGTCAAGGGATTACTGAATATCTGCTATTAATTGAACTGACTCGTTTAAGGCCTACCCTACGGGTTAAGAAAGACAGTTTTCTCGCCCTATTAGTTCATAGGCCTTATATGCTATTTGCCTGCTTCCTTCATCTTTCCTTGGACGAAAGAATACCCAAAATAAGGTCACTTCAATATATTAATTTATTCTCCTACAAACGATGGGGGTGCACTCCCAAAAACCCCCTCAGTATCGCCCTTGATAGACTTAAGGGGTAACGAAGGCAAAGATTCATGACGGAAAGTTATAGTTATAGTGTTAGTGTGTATTGAGAGTGTTGATTACTAAAGAGGTATATATATATTAGTAGGTATGAGTCTTCTACGACTACTGCTATAGAGGTGGGGGAGTATTTTGACTTTCAGCTCAGTGAAGTGAAAAAAGAAGCAAGGAGGAGAGTTAAGTACGAAAGGAAGACAGTCTTCTCCTTCTTTCCTTAGTCAGTAGTGACTACTAAGACTGAGCCTTAAACGGGATAGGGCGCACTAGTGCGAAAGCCGGTACTTTAGAGAAAGGCTAACTCGCATCCGTTTGATTGCTGGGGCACGCAACGGAACTAAGATGGATTTTAGTAACTCTCTGTGTTACCCACCTGCTTCAGGAACAGATGATGGAACTGAGTCAGGAACAGAAACAGATGATTCAGCAGCTTATTTATCTTCTGTAAGCTTCGGTACGGAGTGAATGAGTCAACTATTTAATTTAAGCAGCACCATCACCCACTAGAAGAGAGTTTATACCTGAGTTGGTAGTACCACTCGAATCAACATTCTCAGGTGTGTGTGTCACATGGTGGGTTGCACCAGTGTCTAAGTACGTACCATGCTGGGTCAGTAGCACTTTCTGGAGTGACTAGATAGGCTGAAGCTGAACCATTGTGGTTGTCATTCTTGCGGGGACCTTTGTTGTTCTTATCATATCGGTGATAGCACTGAAGCACTTCATGGCCATATTTCTCACATAAGTGGCAAAACTTGTCAGATTTTCGTCCACCATTACCACGTCCACCTCTACCACGGCCTCTGCGTCCACCTTTACCCCTTAGACGAATAGGGCCTTTGCCTTAGCCAATTCTAGCCAAGCAAGAAAACGGATGCGCTCAAGCCAGCATCACTTACGAAATTTACCGCTGTTCGATCTACTGGGAGATCGACAATATACAATATATTAATTGAATTTTTCAATCACTTTTTTTGTAATTAACATCAGTCGAATTGCGTAAGTGATCACTAAACCAAAGTCTACTCGTTATGGGCGAACGATAATAATCAAGAATCATTCCCTATCGGTAGTAGTACTATTGGTAGTAGTATATGAGCACTATATCAACTGAGCATATTTCTATATCAATTCGTCTCATCTATGACGGTATCTATTCTATGATTGAGAAGCTGACAGGCCCAATGCGCTCTACAACAGGCCTTGCGAGGTCGTAGCAGCCGGTAACCTCGGATCAGTGTAAGATCGATCAAGAACAGAACCGGATTGGATTGAGGAAGATAAGTTATGGAGAGTGTGAACTGATATAAAGTGTTCTGTGAATGAATATATCATGTGAAAATAGTAAGGGAGGAATCGTTGGCACCGTAGAAGATTCTTTAATTAATTGATTAGCGGATATCAATTAATACGTGAAGTGATTGAATATTACAGCACCCCATAATCTTATCTAATAAAATAATATGATAAGCAGCAATCAAACCATTAGGCAGCAAGACAAGAGAACGGAATAGCTATGCACCGGCTTTCGTCCCAACCAACGCGTAACCTTTCCCCAACCTTTTCTGCAGACCCAACCTTCTCTGCAGACCCAACCTTCTCTGCAGACGACCTTCCAAACAAACCCTTCTCAATTCGTTGCTTGTTTCCGTTCCAAACCAAACCCAGCAAGAAACTGGATGCAGCAATCCTCGCTCCTGCGTTAACGGCTATAGGCTTTGCGGCAACCCCTTTTTGGCCTGCCTTGCCTTATCAAATAGGGGCGAGTACCATACTACACGAGCTCATAAATTGGCCTCTCGCTGCTTTGTTTGCTCTTCGCGGAAGCTACTCGACTGTTAAGGAGGGGGCTTAACGCTCCTCTCTGGCCGGTGCTTCTTTCTTTTTCTGCCTTACCCTTCTTTTTCTTTCTTCCTCTTCCTGCTGAGCCAATGAGCTAAGCTCCATCCAATCAGGCATGAAAGAAAGCGCGAATTCAAGAATTCAACCGCTTTTACCCTTTCTTGATCTTAGATTAATAACCCGTTGAAGCACAGGAGCTCAATTAATTGGTGCAGGTGCTTGGCTATCGAATCAGCAGCTAAGGTAGCAGACTGATTTGACTTGATGACCTGGTATGATCATGAACTAGAATGTTCTATTGAATGAGATATAGCCGTAGATCTCCCAGTGCCCACTCTTCGATCTCCCATCGCATCGGTTCCTGAATATCGACTCACTCTTGCCCGCCCTTGATAGACTAAAGGCTGAAGACCAAGTAAAAGGGCTGGCTGGCAAGGCAAAATAGCATAAAAGAGTTTAGCGTAAGAGAAGAAAGCTGCTGTTAGCAGAGAGAGGGTGGATAAGTTTCTAGTTCATGGATTGATCGAGTTTCATTCTACTTTCGACTTATCTCGATTGGGTTGGTCTTCAGTGTGGGAAGTCTTATTTGAAAATCTATAAGTGTTAGGACTAGTGTTTTTTTTGACTATATATGGTGGTTGGTTGTTGACAAAAAAAGACATGGGAAAAGGAAAGCACTCACTGAGTTACTTACGAATCAGAAAGATGGAGGCTGACTACGGCCTCAGATGATTAGGCGGGGACAGGATTCGAACCTGCAATCTTCAGGTCATGAGCCTGATGAGTTGACCAATTCCTCTACCCCGCTTCTTCCCCTTCTCTTTCTCTTACTATTTTGATAGAGGAGACAGCCCACACTGAAGACCAAGCCAATCTCAAGGAAGAAAGTCATTGGCTTCGTTAGACGACTATATTCAAGACATTGGATATCTGCCCAGACATTTTCTAATCTTTTTTTTTTAGATAAGGTTGCCGTGTCTCTCTATCTGAACGAAACCCCTTTTTAGCACCTTTCTTCTGTGTTTGCACAAGCCTACTTTCCTAGTTTCCTCATTGAGGAGAGTTGATTCATCTTACTATGGATGGCAATGACTGACTAATTGGCTGGACTGATCAAGGAACAACGGAACATGCCATGCTATGAAGGAGATCGAGATTAAAAAAAGAAAGAAATGAAAAATCAATGGCCGCGCAATCAGCGGATTGATTGTACTACATAAAAGACTGGTTGCTCGATTGCACTTTCTAGATGTAGATGAAAGTGACGACTTGGTCGTTTATCGTCATTATACGATATTTCCTTGTGAAGCTTGACATTTTGGAATCATCGCAAAAAGAAGTAATCCAACCCACGGAATCGACTTGAATGGGCTATTTTAATATATATGTGTGTGTGCGGCCAAGCAAGCTAGCCAATGCGAAGCGTTCTGTGATTATATACTATATAAATGTTATTTTCTTCAATAGCGCACCAAATGCGCGCAAAGGAAGAATGCGACAGCAGGGCAATAGCTGAAGCTGAAGCTCCTCACCAAACAACAAGCTAGCCATACCAATACCAAAGAAGCTACTAGCATAGCTAGCGAGACTAAATGCTTTAGAAATTGCCTCAAACAAAGTGTGAATAAAAAAGAAACCACCGAATCTCATGTGTGAAGTTAGCAAACAATCCTTGTTTGTCAGAAGACCTAGAAGGAATAGCTTTCCAGGTCGGATTCCAGACTATACCTTGACACAAAGGTATATCTAGGACCCCGGTTAAGTTGTTGAGATTCAGGGTTTAAAGTCCTTGTGTAGACTCCACCTGTTAGAGTTGCCACTCCTCAACCAGATAATTAGGACCAACCAATTGATCGGCTTGTCAGGAATGGGGATCAACCCAATATCCATTTGCCGGATAGTCAAACTTAGCAGCTAGTAATCTACGATCCTACACTTGAAGCTTTCAGGCATCCTCTCATTGAGGAGGTCTTAGATAGAAGATGAGCCGACAGTAGGACTCTCTGAAAGCGGTTGGTCGAGACTCTCTTCTTAATTAGCAAAAAAGCAAGCCGTATTTGTTATTGCTCCCTTGTTTGATAAGTGTCTGTCTATTAAGAAAATCATAAAAATTTATATTGTATCCGCCTTCCTAGCTTACTAAAATCTCTTATGATTTGCATCCACACCTGTAAGATTCACTTATTTGATTAGTCAAGTCGTTAGAGAAAAGACATTGGTTGGGCTAAGCCCTGCTGCACCCTTCACCACTGCAGTATCCATAGGGATACCACTTGCTTCATTTCTTGGGGTGAAATTACCTACCTTCCTTCGTTCCAGCAGCAATCGACTTCCTAAATCTGTACATCAACTTTAGGGTTTCGGGAGAGAATTCCCTTCCAGTATCCATTCAATTGAGAGTTCTTTTTTCTAAGTTGCTAATTTTACTTACTGTCTTGTTGGTAGGATTATGGTTCCTGTCCATTCTTTCCCCTGGGATAAGAATATAAGTATGCCCGGGCTCAGTTTCTTTATCTTAAACGGGCATTGATGATATGGACCCTTTCCAAAATTATCTCTTTTTTTCTTTCCAAAGAAGAGAAGTCGCCCTTTACTTTAGCAGTAGCAAGAAAAAAGCTTCCGAAGTCTTTAGGGCGGATGCCCGTCCCTTTAGATGCTTTAACATGACCCTAAAAAAGGATTTCTTTCCAATAGATATCTGTCTTTCTGCTTTAGATGGACAAAGCTATTAAAGTGAATATGGTTAAGGTGCCTACACCTACCCTGCAGTCGAAAGGCTTAATCCGAGTAGTGCCCCACAGTGACGGAACAACAAGACCAAAGGGATTGACCTTGATTGAATCAGCAAGGAAGGAGAAAAAGATTCCACTTAGTACTGTATTTAGTTAGGACTTTCCTTTTTTATTTTACTTCTTTGAATCGCATCGATTCATTTTCAGCTAATTCCTGAACTTCTTGATGAGTTTAGCCATCAATGCCTTAGGGCCAGAAGGATTGTCCGAATAAAGCTTTGAGCTATTTCTTCACTACTAGGTAACAGCATAGTCAGAAGGGAAAGCAAGGTAAACTTCACCACAGAAAAGATTTGAACTCACAAGAGAGCTGAAACCAAGGGGCCTAGCTGCTATTTCACCGGGAGTGAATCTAGCTAGGGCTATTTTCCACTAATAAGAATCTCCTGAAAACCAGGTTATAGGGCTATATCTTTCCATGGTATGGGCAATTCCCGACTTGCTTTCTGGCTTGTTGGTGTCAGAAGATAGGTGTACGGGGAAGAGTTCCCAAATCTAATTGGCCGGCACGTTCCTAGAAAGAAAGGATGTTTGTTAACAAGACATATCGTCAAATCTCTACTCTTTGTTCTCCCTGCCCCCTTAGACCATGAAAAACCTATAGGAACTGAGATGAGTAGTCGTAGCTAATCAAGACGGCTAGAAACTGATCTTCTTAAGATTAAGATGGGGAACTCAACTCGCTGTGCTCTAGTGGCTTGCTGCCCCTCCTTCTGCTTTTCCTCGAGCTGATTCTCCTTATGTCCCGTTCCTTAAATCAAAGGAGATGACATGCCGGGATCACCACCAGTCAGAGTGGTTGCTCCTTGCCTTGCGCCTATTGAAAGAAGGAAGATAGCTGCACTCCAGTTGCTGTCATTCCCGTCGCTTCTGCTTGAAGAAATAGATAAAGAGAAGGTTATACCGAATCCTCAAGGCTTTTCTCTCTCCTCTCATACATAATTGACGGTGCGGTGATCACTCATCAATGCAGCTAGGGACTGATCTAGTCATAGTGGGACCCCTGAGCGCTAATCGAATGTTCTGGCTCAGCATCAGGTCTGCGACAAAGACAGATTTGACAATCTAGTATAAAATATCCCGCTTTGTATTCCCACTCCGGAGACCTTTCTTTGCCTGAAGCCGGCCTGAAGCTATATCCCTAGCCTTCTACAGAGCAACCTAAACGAGTAGAGCTAGCGCCTTTACCTTGGTCGCTAGAGCGAAGCGTAAAAGGTCTTTCTTCCATTGACTAGATCCTGGCAGACTGCGATCTTCTTACCTCATTGGCTTACCTTTCGCTTCCAAAGCTTACAGAAATGCGGTTCAATTAGGCTTGCAACTATAATCATCTTCCCTCTCTTATCTCGTTTCTGTCTTCCTTCCCCAGGAGCTGTAGAAAAAAGAGAATCCAAAATCTCAGTCAAGCGATGGGACTCCTGGGAGGTGTCCCGAATAAGAAAGAAAGAACTAAGAGGCTTCTTTCCTTCTCGATAGCAGGCTTTGGACAGCCCGAGAACGTTGATTGCGAGCAAGAGTCGACTCAAACAGACCTTTTCGATTTCAAAGCAATTCTCGGCGCGGATGCTTGACATCCGAGACATGTCGGAGAAGGACAAGCTCTTTTCTTTCCTGGAAGGCCGTAAGCCATGGGCAGAAGCTGAGTTGCAGAGACGAGGAGTGCAGGATTTGGCATCGGCCCAAGCAATGCCCAAAGAGTCCACTTTCTGAATTGAGCTCCTCCTTCCCTCTTTACTAAACGTAGGGCCTTTTTTTCACCTGCCTGGACTGCTTTTACTGAAATCAGTGAATCGGACTCTCTGCTATAGCTATAGTAAGCTGTCCCGCAAGGAAAGTCTATCGGCCATACCAACAAAGCAAAGGCGAAAGACGAAGGCGGCTTCGTCTCTCATATCTAAAGAGAAAAGGGACTGTCAATCCTCTCGCTATCGCTCGTTCCCTTACTCGACTGACAAGGAGAGGTCTGATAGCGTGCCTATTGCTTCTTCTACCTTTAGCAGCATCCATCTCACTTCTCTGTGAAGACAATTCCCAATCCAGGTTACCGTTAGGTAAGGCTTATTACGAAGACCCATTCGGAAAAGGCTGATATGGCAAGCGCTACCTCACCTCATCAATAGAGCAACCTTCAAAAAAGTCTCATCCTTTTGGAAGCAGATGGCCTGTTTTTGACTACATGGGTGTCATAGCAGCTGCGCAGTATAACGAATACTACTTCCTACAGGAAGAACTCTCCAAGAGGTATGGGCACGCCATTGCCAAGTTCTACGATGAAAAGAAAAAAAAGGCCTATTGAATCATCTGGGAGCAGTGGGACTACTTTGAGGAAATGAGCCGCTAACTCTCCCCAGATGAGTCTCTTCCTGAACCAAGAGTTCCGCTTGCACCTAGAGGTCTGGCCTGCTATCCGACCGTATGGGCACCGGTTCGATTCCAGTTTTGTGAAAAAACTGGAATCCATTTGATGTCCCCCTCCCTTCCCCTTCTCTTTCTTTCACTATTCCCACCTATTGCTTGGCCGGGATAGAACCAGCGTGAAACCGAAAATCTCTTCTTATGTTTATGTTGAAGAAGAAGGTCAGCTTCATAGCTTAAACCTAAAAAAGCAAGGGCGGAACAGCTGGAAAGGTCATCACTCCACCTCTTTGGAGGCGTGTCGATTGGGCTTGGTTGGGAGAGGAAGAGCGAGATGATCGGTTACGAAAAAGGGCCTCGTCTCGAGTTGCTCGGCTCGCAAAGCGTCCCTCTTACGCTCTCTTCGGCTTAAGGTCGAAGGTCAA